TGCTCTGGATGATCTCCAGAGGTCCCTTCCAAACCCATATCATTCTGTAATTCTGTGAAATTGTTCTCTTCAACTTTTCAAGAGTTTTTGATACAGACAGAGTTGTATTTGACCGAGAAACATCTTATCGCACATCCCAACCTCCAGGAGCTTCAACCCTAGCTCACGTGCAGTGGCTGTGCTTTCTCAACAACCTTTGCTGTCTGCCCCTGGGAACTCCATGGCCAGGCCACGGGTTTCCCATCACAGATCACAACACAGCACAGCCATGGGGTTCCCAGTAGCTGAGAAGTGGGAGAACATCACGAGTCTCGCAAGTTTTGGTCTTGTTTATACAACATTGGAGCCTGTTGTTTGTTTTTCCCTGCTGCAGCTTGCCATTGTTGACTCTTGCTTGGCATGTTTATGCTGGTGTGTCCTGTCCCTTGACATCCCTCACAGAGTGATCACTGTCACACACGTACACTGCATGTGATGCAGAACAAGAGCAAGAGTCATGCTCAGGCCAGTGGAATGCATCCTGAATAAATGCAGGAATGTGTTTTGTGACCTTTGGCGGCATCACAGAATGGTCAAGATTGGAAGGGATCTCTGGAGATCATCTAGTCCAACCTCCCGACACAGCACGGTCACCCAGAGCAGGTCCCACAGGAACGTGTCCAGCGGGGTTGGAATGTTTCCAAAGAAGGAGACTCCACCACCTCTCTGGGCAGCTTCTGCCAGGGCTCACAGCAACGAAGTTCCTCCTCACGTTTAGGTGGAACTTCTTATGTTCAAGGTTGTGCCTGTTACCTCTTGTCCTGTCCCTGGGCACCACTGAAAAAAGCCTGGCCCCATCCTCCTGACACCCACCCTTTCAGTATTTATAGGTGTTGATCAGATCCCCCCTCAGTCTTCTCTTCTCCAGGCTAAAAAGACCCGAGTCCCTCACCTTTATTGTCCCTCTCCTTGTCATCCCATGCCCATGTTTCTCCAGCTTGGGGAGCACAAGGTGGCTCCTGGCTCTGCAGCTCACATGACTTATTTTCGATCAACCTCTGGTAAAAAGGGCTGGGTAGGAAACTTCCTGCAAGCCAGATGTGCCCCACAGCTGCTCGGTGAAAGGCACTAATCCAGAGGGACATGGGGTTTGGGTTTGCGTGTGAGAGAGTTTCTGTATTTCACCTTGTGCAGCATTATCCCAGTCCTACTTATTGCAAATGTAGAAGAATAAAGTCATTATGAATAAGTGGAAAAAGAATGAAACCAGAGAAGGAGCTGAGGCCGAGCTGGGCAGCTCACACTGGGCTTTGTTTTCTGGATAATGCATTGTTAAACGTCTCATACTCCTTTGGTGAGAGGTACCACTTCGAGACCACACGCTGTGCTTCCTCACAGAGAATTCACACCTTTTTTTCTTGGCTCTGCTTCTCCTGTATCCTGTAATAAAAGTCTCCTATACTGTGGTTGGTCTCAGCATACTGGGAAAACAGTGGGTGGAGCCGGGGAAGGAACCATGAAAGCTGCAGGGTCCCATTTTAGATGGAGGAAGCGGGATACGTGGCGATGGCAAACTCGTTCCTGACAACTGTGTCAATACCATTTATTTTTGTTTAACATTAAAACTGTTCACCTATTTATTATCCTAACTAATATCCAATTAAAATCAGGGAGGGAGAAACAATAGAGCCAAGCTGCATGTGAACAATGGACCAAGGAAGACAATGGTGTGCAGGAAGAAGACACATTAATCATACTGACCCTCACCCAACATCCAGCCAACCCACTCGTCTTTAGATGATCGCTGTGGAGATGACGCATCGTTCATTCCTGAAATCAAACTGCAAACTATAAAGGGAAAGTCCTATGGCACCTTGCTGGTATTTGCTCTTGTGCTGAACTTAGAATACAATGTACAGAGAGATCTCTGCCTTAATTAGCTGCCCACTGCGCTAGAGCTGGCTGCAAGCTCTCCTCTCCATATGAAACCTCAGAGCTCTCTCAGTACATTATTTCCACATGTGCTTATATTACTATCGCTGCCCCCTTGATGCAGCATTTTAATAAGCATTCATCTCCAAAAAAAAAAAATACAAAGAAATATCCATCCACTTACCCAAAGCATCCCTTGGCCCAGTCCTCCCTTTCCTTCAGCATGAGCCAGAAGAATCCCTGGGGAGACCCATGGAGCTTCCCTGGTGGGTGGCTGTCGAGAATCAGATCAAGAGACTCTTTTTTTTATAGGGTTTGATTCCTCTTTGTTAGGGGTACAATTTCTCATTCTTTCCTCTGGACACATTGAAGTCCTCTCGTGCCCACGCCATGGAGCCTGGGGTCTTGGCTGGTTTCGGGAGCCCCTGTTAGTGTTGGGCAGACGTGAGCCACCACGGCGACAGGACCAGGACACCGAGGCCTGGAAGGGAGCACCACCAGCTCGCGCCTGCCAGAGGGAATGGGTATTCCAAAAGTGTCCATGGGTCAGAAACAAAGATAGGAGCCAACACTCCTGTGCCCCGTACACCTGCAACCTCCCAACACTACCCAGGACCACTCCTGCAGGAGACGTCGTGATGCTCACACCGATATCTACACTTCAACTCAAGCTCTGGTTGCTTCTCTGTTCTATCATGCAGTCTGCACCAAACTCACCTTTCCAGGAACTGGTCTGTGGTCTACATGGGTCACCTCCCCAGTTTGCTTCATTTAGGGATAATATCAATATTGAAACACAGAATTTTAAATTGATTGATGGCCAAAGTTGATTCAAGAGGTTGCTTCATGTTATATTTATACAAGCTTGGGTTTGTTCATATTTAATACAAAAATATTTTGAAATTAAGCAATTATTGACAAATGCACTTTTCTTGCATTCTCAATGACTAATAAAATTGAAATTCAAATTTCCATGTAGGTGACTCAGTCTGAAGACCACAGTACCAAGCACCTTCAATACGACTGCAATAGTTTTCTGTTATCTACCACCCTACAAATTTTATACTGTCTGAAAATTTAACTGTATATGAATTTATACTAATTGAATGGCATCGTAATAAACTCAGTGGGTTTCTCTCTTCTTACAGGCTTTCATGAACTGCAAGTCACTTTTCTTGCATTCTCAATGACTAATAAAAGAGTTGGCCTCGAAGTACGATAAAAATAAATAAATAAATACATAGATAAATGAATGAGGAGATCATTTAAGGTGCTCTGACTGACCCTTTTCAGAAACCCATCTCCTTCCACCAATTATTTAGGGAAATTCAGAAGATTTGCCTGCCCGGTCGCTCCCCTGAGGCCACAGTCCTGTCACCCCTCGGGATTGTCCCCCACTGGGACCGCACAAGGTGCTGGGGACAAGGGGTGAGCTCAAGGGAAAGGGATCAAAGGGAAACCAGGAAAAGGATAACCTGCAAACAGCATCCACCACGTTACACTTGGAAATTTCTAATATTCAGCTGTCCCAGCCCACAGCATTTCTCTTGGCCATTAACCATTACCACTCCTCGGTCCCGAATGTCCTAACAACAGGGGGAAATGAGGCAGAAAAGGAGCGAGAACAAAGGGCAGACGTCGGGCAGAGGCCAGCTTCAGCAGAAGGGAAAATACTCTTTAGAAAACAGAAAAACATGAAACCATCTTTCACTTTGGGAAGCGCTTTCATATTAACAAAAGATCAGCATAAGTTATGTGTTAGGGATAAGAACACACAACTCAAACATATGGTGCTAAGATTAGGCAGGGAATTTTTATTGCTTTATTATCTACTCATACTGCGCAAAAAAAAAATATAAATCCACAACTCTGCAGCTCTTAAGGCAGTTACACATATGGGAGGAAAAAGGCATGAAACAAGACTGAAATATTCTGTATGTTTTATCATCTGCTGCCATCTAGAAATAGGTGTATTTTCTACAGATCTGGGGGTCGTGGGGAGAGCTCTGGGTGAGCAAAACAAATGATAGAATGGGATTTTTTTCAAAGCTAACTAATACAGTGATTCTACTTTAGTGGACTCTTGAGCTGCGCAACTGAGATATTTTAAGTTCTATCGAAATAAAATATTTCCAGATTTATACTCCTGGGCTTTATCGTATTTCCCCATGAAAGGACGTTACTGGAACAGAGAGTGAGAGACCTGATTGTAACAAACTTGTACCAACACAGGAAAAGGCAGGTTTTGCCTCAATGGCAAGAGGGTGGTGTGATCTCAGGAGAAGGGAAAGGGAAGCACCAGGTACAGATGGGCTGAGGACACGAGAGACAGTGAGGAGATACCTGTGTCTCCACTTCATCTTCTACGAAGACAAGCTGAGAGAGTTGAGGGGTTCAGCCTGGAGAAGAGAAGGCTCTGGGGAGACCATCAAGCACCTTCCAGTCCCCAAAGGGGCTCCAGGAGAAATGGGGAGGGACTCCTGATCAGGGAGAACAGTGAGAGATGTGAGAAGAATTGGGGAAAGGGAGGGTCATGGAAGCCAAACTTCTAAAGCACGAAAAACTACAGCTAAAATAGCAGTTGACCTGAAAAAAAAAAAAATTGCACATGAATTCAATTAGGTTTTTTATAAAATTACTTATAAAGATTACTTTAAAGATACTTATAGAGATTACTAGAAATACTTACAAAGATTCCTTGGAGCTCTTTCACTGCCACCCCAGGCCCCACACAGCAATAAACTCTACTTCTGAAAGGTTTGCTCCTGTTCCCAGAGAGCAGCTCCTGAGGTTCTCCATAAACCACAAAGGGCCTGAGGAATTTAACTGCATTCATCACACGCTCTTGAGTATGCTGCTCCTATTGATGTTAAGGCAAAGTTTCCAATAGCTTCATGGTGACTAAAATAATATGCTTTTAAAATGTGGTGACCCTTGGCTGGAAAAGTCCCAAGCAATGACGTGTAAGGCCATGGTCAGCAGCCCAGCCATGGAAACCACTGGTTTCCCACTCCAACTTGAGGACACACAACAGGAACCTCCATCTGCCGCAGGAGGTTGCCTTGCTAAACAAGCAAACACTAGACGTGTGTTATTACAAGTCATCTTTAATAGAATTTAAAAATAGCTGTTGCAAACTTTATTTGCAGAAAAATAAATCAATGACAATTTTCCAAAATCCCGTGAAACAGTCGAGCTCCTCAGCATTTGTTTCACTATTTGCAAAGGCAGAAGCAGTTGGCAGAGCTAGCGTGTTAATCCACCTCCCTTTGCTCAAAACCATTCAGAAAAGCCTTCTTTTCCTGCCGTCTGTGATTTGATCAAAAATGGAAATGTTTATGATGACCCTGAACTAGGCCAAAATGGGTATCTGACCATGTCTCAAGGCAGTCAAGAACTTTAGTTCCAATTGCTTAAGGTCTAACATGGAAAAAGCCAGCAGCACAGCTGATGTATGGTAGATTGCACCTCCTTATGCGATACTTTCTTTGAGCCAGTTTTTTTTTTAATATATATTTTCTTCCTCATATTAGTGTCCCACCCAAGCTAACAATACTAAAAACCACAACAAAAACACCAATTCATAACACAACATCACGAGATCTGAGCAAGGACAATGAAGCTTCTGGGTAACCACTAAGAAATACACGATAAAACGTATGATTTGAAATTAAAGAGGAATCCTAACACTGGAGTTCTGGCGACTCACAGGTAGCACATAAGCAATTAATGCTCATATACATCGGAAAGTAACGAGCTGTCCGTTAGGAAAAATAATCACTGGATTGACCTGATGCAGCACACGGTCAGGCTTTATTGCATAGAACAGCGTTAGTGCAACAATATTTCCAAGTGGCACAAAAAATACAATAAACTGAGTAAGACACAACGCTGAAGTCAAATATTTTGACACAGGGTAAAGGAGAATCTAATAATAACTCAAAAGACCCAATCACCTAACTGCTGCTTGTGGATAAATTACTAGGGAAAACATCTAATTTCAAAATCTTTGATATATTTAGAGGACTAAACACATAAATAGAGCTCAATGCATAAAAATTCATGGTAGAAGAAGGAAGGCTGTAACAGGAAGATTATTGGCCATTAGAATTAAAATTGAATACTCTTCCTTGGTATTTGAGATAAAAAAGCTATGCTGGTAGGTACCAGCTGCTTTCCAAATACAATCTTTCCTAAAAACCTGTGTATTTTGAAAACCAAAACATCACACTGTGTTGTTGGTTTGGGCACTTTGTGAAGATCTTGTACATTTCTAATTGCACACACACACCATAGAGGCTAGAGCCTAAAGAATGGTTATGCATATACAAGTGCTTCCTACAGGAACCTGCTTAAACCCAATGTTGTCAATATTCATACCAACTGGGACAGCACACTGGGAGAAATACTGCTAGGATAATATTTTGAAAACTGAATAAAACCAATTTTTGAACCTTAGATTCGATTTTCAACAGAGACTTTCAAGGCAAGAGAGAGGCACATTAACGCTGGACCTTGGCTCTTCTGCTCCTTCTGCACCAGTTTGGCCACTTGCCCCTTTTCTAACTGGCCACTGACTGGCACGAGCCACAGGCTCCTGCTTGTGAAGCTAATGGGAGCAAGGCGGGGGGAGAACCTTCAGAATGCACAATGTTCTTCTTTTAAACTCAGTCCTAAATAAATTACTATTTCTTACTGATTTAAAAGCATATTAATGGCCCCGCACAGCTCGTGTCCACTGACGGCACGTGGCTGAAAAGGGCGTGGGAAACACCAAAGAATATTCAGATTTGAAACAAACAGCAAGGGTCAGGCAATGACCCCATCACAAACTACCTTCTCCTGACTGCTTTTACTGTCGCTCCTTAAAGACCTTGCTCCTAAGGATTTTTTGCTAAGAGATTTCCCAGTAACTTCAGCGGGAGCACGGCCCCTCCAACATCAACAACGGGGTGTTTGTTCACCGACTCCGACAATCCCGTGACCTGATGCATCATGACTGATGCTTTTTTGGGTGGGCGAGGCAGCCCAGAGTCATTGAGAAACACGTGTTGCTTGCCTCAAAAGCAAACATAAAGGAACACTAATAAAAGCCGCAATATCTGAAATTACGATGAGCAGTTTAAATCCATTTTCCTGGAGGATATTCGGGAAGCTGGGACTGCCTGCAAAATAAAACTCATTTATTCCTACTTTCTACTGCAATGGAGTAGTTTATCTCCAGTACAACTTGTCTAGAAAATAAGCTTCTTTATCCTAAGATTAATCAGGTATTAACACTCCTCTTGGAAGCTCTACATATAGTAAAAACTGAAAGTCAGTGAGCTATGGGTTCTGGAAATTATATTAAATGGAGGCAAATGACATGCCAAAGCTGCTGAACCCAAAGGTCACCAAGAAACCAAACCCACAGCAAAACACACCCCAGTTCAGAGTGTGAGCGTTCTCCAGATCTCACACTGGGCACAACTCACTCTGCTCCCACACGCGGGTACAGGGTTTGAGGCACAAAGACACATTTCAGTTTGTATCTCGGGTTTCTACCAGCTTTGGACCCGTGTGACCAAGGGCACAACTTACAGAGGGGCAGATCCTGCATCCTATTGACTAAGAAGCACTTTGGATTTCCAAAAATTCAGTATAAGTGCCCATGGGTTGGGGCAGCACGGGCACTCACGTTAAGGCACTAATCATCTCTTCCAGGAGCTGGATCCAAAGTGCACCAAAGACAAATCAAACGCATTAACCGAGTCCAAAGAACCAGGCCTAAGCTCTGCCAGAGAGACAGAACAGAACCCCAAGTTTGGGAAAAACCCTGTAAATTCTAAGTACAGATAAAGTAAAGCAAATGACCCCACCTAAACTCGTTTTGCAGTTAAAAACCAACACCTCGACATTAGAAGGCGCCCGGTGCAGGAAGTTCAGGGCTCTTTCCCTGCTACCATCTACCAGCTTCCTTTGAGAACAGAAGAACAGATGAGCATAAAATACAAAAATATACATTTTAAGCAGCAGCAAAATTTGAATAAAAATTAGAAATCGCTCAAGGAAAGTGACTGCCACATTATTACATGTGCACACGTGCACACTCCGTCTCAGAAAGGTAGGAGGGGAAGGGAGCCAATAGCCTAAAAATTTCTCCCTCTGTTAATTTGCACAACAGCTGTTAACTTCATCGCAGTGACTAGGGGTGTTATGTGTTATGATATGTCACAAAGAAGTAAGCATTACACAGGGGCAGTGCTCCAGAAGGATAAACCAGGGAAGACGTTCATACAGAGGGAGGAGTTCCCAAGGTCACACCTTTTCCCATCCATAGGGACCCGTCACTCTCCCCACGTGCAAGGAGCAGGTCTGGGTGTAAAAGTGGCTGCTGTTCTTCCCCCGTCCCTCTCCTCAGGGCCCCGCAGCTGTCAGGGCACAGGGAGAGACAAACAGCTCTTTATTGTTGATAAACAGCTCTTTGGGGTTACGTCACTTAAATCGTTGACAAGATGACGCCATGAATGCGAGACATAAAGGATGCCCCAGAGTGACATTTCCAGAAGACTCCTACAAACCAGAAAAGGATCCAAGCAACCTTCATCCTGCTGGCCATAAATATGCCAATGGACACCAGCGTTCCCACACAGAAAGAGAATTAGGTTGGTTTCTGAAAAACCCTAGAAAAATGGAGTCTCAAGCACAGACTCCATCTTTGATACATTTACAGTAAAAGCCTTTCAGAGTAAAATGCATAAGAACGTCCCAAGGCCTTATTTTCAAACATGAATAACTTATGAATTGGCAAAACATCCACCTAGCTTGTCTGTAATAACAAAAAAAAAGACCGACAACTTTCTGGAGCGTTCAGCAGTTTGTGAATGCAGCACTTCTTGGCTCTCGGATCTGCCGTGAAGCCAGCTCCTTATATTTTTTGTATTATTCCCCATGAGAACACACAGTGAAATTCAATCTTAATGATCAGTGTCAGGTCTGCAGAACAGCACAAAGCGAACTCTGGTACCAAGCTCCCAGGGCTCTGCTTCCCAACGCCCCAGTGGAGAAGCAGCCAGATTTCAGAAAAGCACAGGAAACTAATGTACAGCCCTAAAATCCAAGGAGAAATGAAAGCTGGGGCAGAAAGGGAGTGGGAACACGGAGCTGGGTTTGCGTTATCTCAGGCTGCTTTCTCAGCAACTCTGTGCTTCTTCAGAAAATAACTTCAGTATGAAACGAAGACTTGGAAAGCTTTTTCCAGCAGATACTTGAAGAGGTTTTCTGGCCCAGCCAGAAATGCAGCGCCCGGGCCAGCCCAGCTCCCCTGAAGGCGGCGGGAGTTTGGTCGCTGTCACCACTAAAGACGGGCTGGTATCTCAACGCAAGGTTTTCTTTGGATAATTTATGGAAACCTTAGACGAGAAACATCATCCGTCTCCTCTTACAGCGCCCAAGAGCAGAGGGAGTTGACGTGAAGGACAGAGAGCAGCCAGAAGAAGGAGGCCAGCGAGGAGCACCCGAGCAGGGCCGGAGAGCCATCGCGGTGGCAGAGGCTGCAGTCGCTGTCACAGAAGTCACACGGGGTGACACTTTGCATTACCCCTGAGTTGTAGCTTCTCACCGCTCTTCTCCCTGTTCGGAAAGGGTAGTTAGCATTAGTTAATGAGCTTCTGAGAACAGACCGACAAATTAGCTTCAAAAAGAAAGCATTTTTATAAGATGGGCTACACTCTGATGCAGAGCTCGCCCTACCCTGCAAAACCCTTCCCAGAGCGGGTGCTCAAGCCCAGGCATTAATTAATCTTTGTTCTTCTCCCAAAACACCAAAGTGTTCTCATTACAGTCAGGCAAAGGCCTGGTGAAAGGCACGCTCCTGGACTCAGTCTCAGCTGTTGGACCCAATCTGCTCACAAACCTGGGTCAAACATGAGAAAAGGGATTTCGCCCCTGCCCACACGGCAGGTCCCACAGCAGCAGCTCAGAGGCATTACCCACAGGTTCCTGGCTCTGACATTCAAGAGCTAGGTCTCTCATAACCGATGTCTTCTCTGTCAATAATATGTTTGGAAGCTTCAGCTTCCCAGCTCCAGGATTGCCTGCCTCACCCAGATCCTGCTCCTGGACTTCACTCCCCCGTGCCCCGAAGCATTGCTACAGAGCCAGACCAGGAGCCTGGAAAGTTTCAAACACATCAGTGGTCACCCACACAACAAGCTTTTGCAAAGTTTCATTCCCACAGTGGGTTTTTGTGGTTTGAAGGTTTGACTAGGGACACTGCAAGTTCTTTTTTAATTAGTAGTACTTTTTAACAGAAATGATATTCAGTTTCCTTTCAAGTCTCAAGGTATTAAAGAAGTTTTCTTGCCCAATGGTGACACTCAACTAATCCTGGCCAAAGTCAGGTCGCAGAAGCAGCAGCCATTTGAGCAGCTGGGTACGGTGACCCTGGCATCCAAGGCAGTTCTTACACCACACAGATATAACTGCTTTGATCAATTCCAGAGCACAAGAGCTCCTCAGGCATCTCCTGGCTCTGAATACAATCTGAATTTGTCACCATCACATAAAAAGCACACCTGCAGCTGGCGTCACCCACTCAGAGAGTCGTGGAAAATAATAGATTAAAATAAAAGCAGGTTCCTGTATTAGACAGGATGTTCTCCCAGGAGAACTCAGGATCATGACATACGTATATATGTTGACCAACAATAATTCTATACTACATAGGGATAGGAATGGTGTCTTGTAAAATAATATTTGAAGCAATCTTTTTCTTAAAGTCAAAGCTTTCTATTGCGGCACTGATTATGTCACATAAATTTTAATCCCTAAGGATATTAATTCATTTCTTTCTTTAAATTAATATTGATTTATTAACTGAGAATTTATGGATACTAAATGTATTTAAATAGAATGAAAATATTTACACATGTGCATTTATATGTGACTTTTTATACACATATTCATAAGTCTAACAGCATTCTTATAAAAGACTAGGTCCTGAGCTCTTCTCCAAGGAACTGAAGCACATAGAAATTTGTTTTCATAGAATCACAGCATGGTTTGGGTTGGAAGGGACCTTAAAGCCCCCCCCAGTGCCACCCCCTGCCCTGGGCAGGGACACCTCCCACCAGCCCAGGCTGCTCCAAGCCCCCTCCAGCCTGGCCTTGAACCCCTCCAGGGATGGGGCAGCCACAGCTTCTCTGGGCAACCTGGGCCAGGCTCTCACCATCATCAATGTGAAAATATTTCTTCCTTCTATCTAATCTAAATCTTTTCTCCCTCTTCGAGTTTAAAACCATTACCCCTTGTCATATCACAACAGGCCCTGCTGAAAAGTCTGTCCCCATCTCTCCTGTTTCAGCTGGCTGGTGTAACCAAAGCCTCTCTAATATCTTCTTCAGCACCTTATAATCTCTCTTTGCTTTTCCTTTTGCCCAAGAGCTTTGTATGTTGCTGCCTTTCTCTAAATACACTCTACACACACCAAAAAAAACAAACCCAAAATCAATCCAGCCCAACCCAAAAAAACTTTGAAACTGTTTTTCTCATGTACATCTTTTTTACATAACTACAGAAATCAAAACACTGGCATTTTCTCCAGTAAAGGACTCTTAGTTTAAACACGAAACAGATGGAAAAGCTACTCGAAAGATAATCATTAACTTGGTAAGTGAACCACAGTGAAGTTCCTCCTTCATTCTGGTAGTTTTGGGAACACATTGGGCCAGACTGAAGCCAATTTACACCAGCTGACAATTAAGTTATGACAATTCACACCAGCTGATGAACCAACCCATTAGGACAGTAAGCATATATATGGGAAAACGTTACTATTTGTTAGAAAATTTGGCATGCCAATGTCCAAAAAGGCTGCAGTTCAATGAAAAAAAAAACAAATTTCAGTTCAATGTGGCTTTGTCTTCACTAAAATTTGCCCTATTTCCATGAAAAGAAACATTCTGAGTCACTAAGATCCACTTGGAATGACTGACACTTACTAGGTTCATAGTAATCCACCACAGTCACTGAAGCATCCTGGATATTTGCCACTTTGAAGTCTCTCACAGCCGGAATATCCACACAAACCTGTGTTTCATTTAGCTAGAAAAACAGAAGAGAAACAGCCTGAGAACCCCGGAAATGGTGCTTTCATGGAAGAGGTAAGGACTTCCAGCTCAGCGGCAGCCCTTCATTTCTAAAGACTTGGAGTCAGGATGCACAGAAAAATGCTTGTCTCATTTGTAGTCATTTTGGCCAAGTTACAGAGTTCTGGAAATGTCTGACTTCTTATATATGATTTTTAAGAGGCCCCATCTAGAGACCTTTTACAAATGCAACCGAATTGTACCCATCCAATCAGTATCACTAAAAAACAGTGGAACTATTAATTCAATGTGACCAGCACATGTTGATTTCCCCAAACAGTACAACCATAACATTTCCAAATTTAAACCAAACAATGGCAGAGTCAAGATTAACATCACTACAAACGTATTTCTTTTTTATTTTCAACTTACAGAGTCTAAGTATAGGTTGACTTTTCCATTGTCCTTTTCCACCTTCTTCACTGTATTGTCTAATGGAACGAAATCAGGTGACACGGAGAAACCACTGAGTAAGCCCACCTCCATGAGGACCATCCCACTCCTGGGAGCTGCACCAGAACCCAAGTACCTTTTCAAAATACAGAGACAAAGCACATTTTAGCAGAAACACCACAGACCACTCTCCAAAGAAACTGTCTTATCGTTATATCCCAACTATAGTAGCAATACTACTTAAGAAACAAATGGAACAAAACACAACAAGAAAATTTCTAACTATAAAGAGATAACAATTGATTTCTCTATTGTTCTGCTTGATAATTTCAACTAGATATGCAAAAGCAGGTTTAGCACTGAGAAAACTACAGTGCACAAATCATATGAGAGACTACACTGACACCACCAGGAGCTTTCTGTTGGCATCTCTACATGCAGGTTTATCACAAACATGCAGGAAATATTGCAATTAAACACATTTCAACAGGCAATGGGACAAGAGGAAACAGCCTCTGTGCAGAAAATGTTGTAAGTAAACACATTTCAGCGGGCGATGGGACAAGAGGAAACAGCCTCAAGTTGTGCCAGGGAAGGTTTAGGATGGATATTGGGAAAAATTTCTCCACAGAAAGAGTTATGAAGCCGTGAAAGATGCTGCCCAGGGCAGTGGTGGAGTTGCCATCCACGGAAGGAGTTATGAAGCCTTGAAAGATGTTGCCCAGGGCAGCGGTGGAGTTGCCATCCCTGGATGTATTTAAAAGCTGGGCAGACAGTGCTGAGGGACATGGGTTGGTGGTAATTTGGCAGTGTTGGGTTGATGGTTGGACTTGATGATCTTAAAGGTCTCTTCCCACTAAAAAGACTCTAAAGCAGGTGGCAGAAGGGTTCCCCCCCACCTTGGCGTGGAGGGTAAATGATTATTGTTACACTAGAACAGAAATGTCTCCCGTCTTCATTTTGAAGGCCTGACAGGAGTTGAAAGTAATTGAATAAGACTATTTCATTGTAGAGCTGGATGGCTGAAAACCAGAGAGGGTTTGGTCTCAAAGCAGTGCTGCTGAGCCTGGCAGAGAGGCTGACTGAAGGCAGAGATGACTTTGAAAGAAGCACAGCACAACTGCTGACTTCAGTTGGCTCCTGAGGTTAGAAACAAATGAAACCATCTGTGGGATGACGGGCTGTGCCAAAGTAGCTGCTATTGGAAACAAATAACTGATTTGGAACTGAATGTAATTATTGCTGCATAATTACCAATAGGAGCGGAGGAAAATACCCAAGCTTTCTAGCTAGCCTGGGGAGCTACTAAAATACCAACGGGCAGCCAAACCAGCTTGGTATTGTCAAGAAGTGAACAAGATATATCCCTAGAAGTTATGAAGACCTGGCTCCCAAGAAAGGCAGCCTTGGGGGTGGCTTCTGGTATCACCTCTTCAAAAATTAAAAAAAATCACCACGTGAGAAGGGTAATCAGTCAGAGAAAAAGAGAAGCCTTGAAACTTGTGCCTGAAGAGAATGCTTTAAGCTGAATGTTATGTTTCAGCTCCTCAGCAACAGGAGATCTGTGTGAGACCCTCTCACAGACAGTGCAAAGAGGAGAAAACAGCACCAAGCCGGTGCAGGCAGAAAGCATAAACAAGAGCATGAGTAGAACCACTAGCAACCAGGTTCCCAGGCCTGAAAATGGTCCCAGTCTTTGGGACTGACCAGAGGGGACAGTGGCAGCCCTGGGTATTTGCATCCCAGACAGGGAGTCAGGTCCTCTAACCCAGAATCAGCTCAATTTGAACAAGACATCACCTGCTCCAGCGTCATAAATGGCACCCAGTTGAGTGTCCGTTGACCATGGCCAATCGCCATCAAGCTGGTTGGAAGAAGGTGGAATGTTCTGCAGATTTAGAGAAAGAAGAACATTGCAAAGCTGCAGCCTGCGTCACCTGACTGTGCACACCCACAGCTGGCTGAACTGCCTGAGGTTTCCACACTCTGTCTTTCTGCATTTGCCCACTCTGGCTTCTCTCCCAGAAAGCCCCACCATGTTGTAAAGATTATAACTAGACCAACTTTAAACTCATTCAGGAATTTAATATAGATCATCAATATATTACAGGGGGAAAAAAAATGACTAGCCTATCAAGCCAAGAAACCAGAGGTGAAGTTTCAGCCTAAAGAACAGAAACACAGACTTACTAGAAATGACACCAGTCCACTTTCTGTGGTAAGAGTTAATGGATCTTAATGGTCCAAATATTCTCCTGGGGCAGTTTTATAATGCCACTAGATTTTCCCCTACCCTTTGAACGCTTTGAAATTAAAACATCATCACCCTCAAGCCTTCCCAGAGAGATGGAGCCTTCCCTGTCTGTATTCCTGAGCCAAGGGCCTGCGCTAGAAAATCGGAACGCTCAGCCAAGCCTTATCCCAGAGCCATCATGTAAACCCTTTACATGTCAAGAGTTTGTGCTAGACTTGAGAAAGCTGTTGACACTTCATAGAAAACTTTAAAAGAGAACAAGCCCGTTCTATTTTAAGAGCTCTCATGTATTCTCATGTCCCTGCCCACCATCTGTATCACACATTAAACCAGGGCTCTGGCTTTGTGCCCGCTGGCTGTTTCCCAAATTAAATCAATCCTCTCCCTACTGAAATCATATTCACTGCGGCTGATTATTTGTATGATGGTGTCACCTAGAGGCTCCAGCTCCAGTCACAGCTCCCTGGTGACAGGCAGAGGATAAAAATAGTTCTAGGCATACGGTGTTCAAAGTTTAGATAAATAACAAAAAGAGGATGTGGAGGAAAGGAACGCAAGAGTAATCACGGGGGATCAGGTGGTACTTGGCAAATCTTGCATTTACAAAGAACCCATTATAATGTCACAAGAAGAAAACAGGGTTTCTAGAGAAAGCATTCACAAGCAGATGAATTCCTAAAATCCAGAGAACGTACCCGTCTCAACATCCTTGTAGAGAATAAAAGATAAGAAGATTAAAAACATAAATATAGAGAGAGGTACAATGTCCTCTAGGGTTTTCTGTAAAATATGCAGTGCTCTCTAACTACAATTAGAAGTGCATACTGAAGAAACTGCCAGAGAACAAACACCTTCGTATATTTCTTTTAAATACATGTATAAACAGCTTCACAGCAAGTAAAAGTGAGGCAGCAAAGCAGTCAGAGAAACAAGTCGGTTTAATGACGGGCTGACCTAGGAATATGCAATGTGCCTGTTCAATGTCACCCATCCCCATCCTCAAATGCCACCCAGGTGAGATCTGGTGGCTGCTCTGGGCTCTCTGAGAGACTACTTCAGCAGTCCCAGATCCGTTCTCAAGAGGTGTTTGCTGAACAAGAAACATCACCCTGGATGCACCACCCCCCTCCCTCAGTCAGCAGAAAGAACAGAATTAGCCTGGCTGGAAAATCCATCACTGCTTTCAACTGCACAACGATGCTTACGTTATACTATATTATCAAACTCAGAACGATAAGACATCTTGCTAAATGAAGGCCCACAAAGATCCTTGCACAATAAGACAAAAGCCCAGTTGAATTTATCATTTTGTAAACATGGCTTTTGACTCCTGCCAAAATTCTTCTGAGCAAAGTTTGGTCATCTCTATTAATAAGGAATGATTATTCATATTTAATAATGTTTTCAGCACTTCAGAACCTCCTTCTCTGTTTACAAAAAAAAAAAAAAGTTCTAATTCTAGAACAAAAGTAAAGCTTTGTGTTCACGAAAGGTCAGAGCAAGGACCCTGCTACCAGAAGAATGTGAGAGACATTGATTCAGTTCTCAAGGCTGTCCACAGCTCTCCATATGGCCAAGAAGCATTTGCACCAAAGAAGCCTGTGAGTTTCTTCTCTTATTTCACACAAACTCTTCCATACAACTCTAACATTTAAGGTACCACCATCTTTATGCACACCAGTAAAAAACCATCACCTGGCCAACAACAATTTTGCACTAAAGATCTACCACTCTATTTATTGGCTTAGAAATTGGTTCTTAGTTTAACTACTGTCATTTTTACAAAGTAATTCTGTCATTCTCTTTAGTTATACATTTATATCCTGTACATTAATAAATACGTAGAAACAAGTGGATAATTGAGCTCATTTTAAATAATTTAAAAGCTGTATAGACAAAGCAGTGTATGAGATGTTCCACTGGAATCACCTACCTTGTGCACACATTCAAGGTCAAATGGTTTTTATCGTCTTTGTCATCCTTTACATCAACATTCAAGTCAAAGGCTTCTTGTTTTCGGGTGGATCTGAGCCTCTGATCAGTGTGCTTTGTGTTGTAAATAACATTGAGCTGTGGGTTGCAAGTAGAGACACGAGATGACAAACGTAAAGCAAATCAGTGTGGTTAAAGCAGCAAGTTGCTAACAGTGTGTGTAGTGTCAGAGGAGCTCTCCCACGAGGCAGGACACACGGCCCCATGTCTGGCAGCTGCACACATGAAACTCATAGCAATTTTCTGAATGAAATACCCTTTCTGAACACTCTGTAAGGCAGCAGAACCAGTGCAATTAACAGAGGACAGTTGTGGCAAGCTCCAGGGAGCTCTAAGACAAGCAGCGATTTTCTCCCTAGTTGTTGTCTGCTGGTTTACTTCTTGAGAGTGTGAAATGGGATGGAAAAGGGTGAACTTCAGAGACCGACACCCGCTGGGATAAAAGAGAGAGGGCTGGATGTGAAAGTGAAGCAAACACATAACGTATGTAGGGAACTTGTCTCCAGTCTTCACATCACAGCATTCAAACGCCCAAACCAGATGAGGGACAGCATGTTACCCCAAGCTCAGAACAACACCATTTTCTGGCAGTTAAGCAAGTAGTTTCATCATCAGGTTCATCTGAGCAAAGGCAAAGTGATGGTCCTCAGTCTGCCCCGAGGACAGAGCTCTGCTCAGCCAGGTGAGGAGGCATGACGGGATGTCCCATGCGAGACAACAATATCAACATAAAATAAATTCATCTGCTTAGCACAGTTTGAAAAGTTTCCGATTCTCCCAGTGCAGACACGTATAAGATGATTGAAACAGTGGTGGAAGAGTGGTAAAACCAGAAGCCCTTAAGAGACCTGAATAATTAGGACGTGGCCTGATTACCTCAGACAGCCAAAGCAGAAATGCTGGAGCTGGAACTGAGCAACCAATGAGTACTCTCCCGTTATCAGCCATGGCAGAAAATCAGGCAGTGAAACACCAGGCAGTGGTATCAGTTGTCCCAGCCCATCTGCTCTTGCATACTCGTGTACTTATACCCAGTGAAAGACACCAAAAATTAAGTTTAACTTTAAGAAAACATTCTACGGTGCTTCAGGCTGATGAACAGCCAGTGCAATGCTGGTGGTAGCTGCAGCATCCCTTTGCTGTGGCACCAACAGGATAGCACCCCTGACAGAGGACAACAGAAGGGGTTGCTGACTCAGCACTTCAGCATGATGAATCAGAAAGCTCAACCTTCAAAACCCTAGGATGACAAAATCAAATAGGAGAAACTAAGAAAATACTCACTGTCAAATACTAATTGACGTTATTTGGCAAAATAGTTATTTTCACCCACAACAGAACACTGTAAGTTTGTACACATTTTTCACATACAAACTAATAATCATTATCTATTCCCTCAGTCATCACAATAAAACACACGGCAGGGCAAGGCAACCGCCTTCTTTGATGTTGGTAGGAAAATAGTCAGAAAATGGCTCAAATAACCCCTTGCAAGACCCCAACACGCACTTTGCTCGGCTAAGGCTGGGAAACCATAGTCCCTTTACAAGAGGTTCTGGCAGCAAATGGAAAGCTGCCAGTCCAAAGGTACAGGTGTGACGGGGGGGTGTCCGAGTTACAGGTCAGCAAGTCTGTGCAGAGTCTTTAATTTCTGGTTTTTGCTTTTGCTGCTCCACCCCTCACCCCGTGGCGTGCCGGCTCTGCGCAGGCACCCCAGGATTCGTCCCACACAACCACTCCGCAGGAGAAGGCCCTACCAAGGATGAAGCCAAGCTAGAAAGCTGCCAGCTGAAGGCAGGCAGAAAGCTTGGTGAAGACAAGCTGGCGGTGCCTCAACGATCCGTCACGGCAGAAACAAAGCCGTTTAAACTTTTGCCAGAAAAAGCTAATGAATGGGAATTTACTGCCAGCGCAGGATGCCTGAAACCACACGCTGAACGGGTCAATCAGCTGGTATTTTCATGGAATAAGTTACCGCGGTCACAGTTCGACTTTCCTTCCCTGATTTCTCATGACAATGAAGGAAAAAATCTTTTTCATGACACAGAGTTTAATTAAAGCCTCCTTCTTTATGCCCTCTTAGTTTGGGGACAGAAGGCTATTATACAGAAATTACCATTAAACCAACAAAACAAGCCACTGCCTTTCTTCTTAACCCTCTAAAGAAGTAGCTGACAAAGCTACAGGCAGAACTGGTCCAGTCTTGTCACACCACAACCCGTTCTGGTGGGATGCCCAAGAACAGAAGACTAAGATCTGATGTTCTGCCTGACAGAGGTGCTTTATCAGTGTCTGACCCAACCGACTGTGCTAGACTTCAAGAACACGACTCATTTAGAAGGCCCTAATCAGTGTCTCTTCCCCTATTCTTTTTTCCTTTCCTCATGTGGCAGCACAAACGTGCTTGACCGAGGACATGAATTCAATGAAATCACCCCCGATATTTTTCTGTTCCTCATTAAGCACTTAGCATCTACTCAAACTATAATGGAGAAGCCCAGGTGCATGTCACAGGGGTACCTTCTGCAGTTGCCATCACACTGAGTAACCCTCATCCCCTGCCTAAGTCTGGTAAAAACAGAGTGGGAAAATTGGTCAGTGCTTTTCAGTAATGGGTCACAGCTGATTCTCGTTTCTTTCCTTGCTCCCTCCCTGCATGTGGCCAAGGAGACCTTGTTGACCCATCCCTTTGTCCACAGCCATCCTCCTGGAGCATGCCCACCCTCTCCTCGTGGCTAGTCCTGGACTTCAGTGGCGTTCTCCTCCCTTCCACAAGGCACGACCCATGCCAGATTGGTGAGGCATTTGCCAAGCTCAGGTCATGGCAGTTCCAGAGAGGGGTTTCTTCCAAGACCTTCAGCAGGCTATCTAAGATCACTTCTTCAACACCCTTCTCTAGAGAGTGCTTTTCACATGCCCTAACCCTACAGGCACCCTCTTCCCTTGGGCAGAGGCAGTGTCTCAGGTCACCTATAGCACATGCCCATACCATGAAGGGCTGAGCCAGGAGACTGTTGACAGCAGGACCACAAAGATACAAGTGAATGTCTGCTTGTGCAATCATACTATCCAAAATAAATACATTTTATGAGATCCTGCAGGGCCAGGAGTGAACGCTCTGCCAACTCGCACACACAGACAGTGAGATTTCATAAAAAAAAAAAAAAGGTTTGTTTTTTTTTCTAAGAATCCATTCTGTTGGGAAAGCAGCCTTTTCCATTAATGGACCAAATCTTGTGTTTAGTGATATTTAAATGAATTACTGTTTTGACATGCTACATTTGGCCAGCAAGCCAAATCCCAGACCAGTGACTCTCCCCACGGTACTTTGGCGGCCCTAAGACAATGAAACCCAGCTGAAGAAACGCGATCAAAATGTCATACGCTCTCTGATTTATTAAATGCAACCCAGATCTAGCTTGTGTCTGGGAAAGAGAGAAATCTCATTCAAATGGCATCAGTGCTCTTTCTCTTAGAGTACCAGACCTGCCAAGGGAAGCAGAAGGAAAGAATTGATCCCAGCAAAGCAAAAGGTTCTGGAGAAGCTACTCCAGTGTGTTGAGTTCACTATTTTGAACCAAGTCACAGCATTTCTGACTCAAAGCCGCGGGGAAAAAGGCAACAGCACAGCGGCCTAAATGAAGAAGACAATCTGGCATTGGTTCCTGAACATCAGTTATTTGGGAGCGTATTTTCATGTTCATACAACAAACCAGGAATTTAAGCCATGGTGCTATATACCCTCACGGAGCCCTCTAACCATGGAATCGACTCCAACTGTTCTGGGTGGAAGCCTTCTGCTCAGCCTTCACCAGACACACTGGTCTGGATGCAAACTTTTCCTGCTGGCAAAAAAAGTAACTGGAACCAATGTGCTCCCACTAAAGGCATTCTTTTCAGCAAATCAGCCTCTTCCAGCAAGAAACAATTTGCTGAAAAGTGTTTGATCAGCTCGCCTGACAAATTAGTTGACTGAATATCAGGGACTATTTCTCAACAGTGGTCGAGGTTAAGGAGTCTTAAGTGTTCTGGAGCCTTAAGTGCTCTGGAGCCCCGCTGTTACATTCCACACATACTCCCACCAAAACCACAGCCGTGCGAAGGCAGTCCTGCAGAGACCTTCGTTCCTAGCCCGGCCTGCAGGCCTGAACCTAAATTACGCCCTGAAACTTCTGAACTTTGCTGTAAACTTCATTTGCGCTTCTGGGAATTAATAAAAAGGGGTTGTGATTTACGGCACGGTGGTTTTGCAGAGCGGTGCTGGAGGATCGAGGTGTATCTCCAGCTGCTGTTCACTGATGGTAGGCAGCTGGGAAGATTTCTTTGTAAAGGTCTTTTATCCAAAAGCATATTTACCAACACCACCGTGGGTTTTTGTCTCCTAGATGCACAAAAACATCAAAGTGAAGACCAAGTTGGAAGGAACTTAAGATGGAATCTGACCTGGCATAAAGCTTCAAGATGATTAAGGGCAGCCTAAGTTCAGTTTCCCCATGTGTGACTAGGAATCCTGTAGGAACTCTGGTTTTGCAATACACTCATTAATTAGAGTTTATCTGCATACTTCCAATCAAATGACTCTCTCATGCTCAGAGACTAACATTTCTGTATGACCCATAGCTTTTCAAAGGTCTCCTCTTCCATCTGTGTGGTTTAAGACACCATCATGGACAGGACAGCAGGGAAGAGAGACCCACTAATTTCCATATAGAATCATAGAATGGTTTGGGTTGGAAAAGACCTTAAAGACCATCCAGTTCCAACCCCCTGCCCTGGGCAGAGACACCTCCCACCAGACCAGGTTGCTCAAAGCCCCATCCAGCCTGGCCTTGAACCCCTCCAGGATCAAATCAGATCCAATACCATTTTCTTCTCACATGATATTTCTCACAGGGTTAGGAAAAATCCTGGTATTGAAACTCCTTCAGAACATAGTATCTGCTACAGGGGAAGAGCAAGCAGCTGAAAAGGCCATTTACAGTTTGCTAGTTCTAAACACAGTGTGCGCTGATCCCAGCTTTATTTGCTTAAATGTATGTAAAGACGTTTGAGTTTATGCTGCCAGGAGAGAGTCCTCTGGAGGACAGGCAGAGAGGTGGTCACCGTACCCCCTTCCACCCTTTGCTGTGCCCCCACTTCTGGCTGACACTAAGCATCTGCTACTATCAGCCCTTTGCAGGATCCTTTGTCTCTGCCTTTCATGCTCTTCCAGAACAGCGTACAAACTGCTGGAGAACCTGGCCGTAATACTCTTCCATTATTAGCTTTTACACTATCGAAGTATTTTACTTCAATAAAAGGAAATAACTCTAATACCCAGCAGTGTAATCTTGCTCTGCACGGACCTGGAGGTACTTCTGCCCAGTCCACACACCGTCCTTCCTGTGACCCTCATGCCTGCCGAGGTACCCCTGCAGTCCCTCATCTTGCGAAGGGACACTGCATCTCTGCAGGAGGACAGGGGTGCTCTGACGTGGCTCTGGCCCATGGAAGTGCCCCAAAACAGTCAATCCAATCATCCCATCACGCTTAAAAGGCCGGGCCATCAGACACAATCCATCACGTGAGCGTGTCCATTCACACACTGTTTGCTTCACAGCATTCTCTAATTAGGAAACTGCTTCGGCACTGATTGAAGACATTTCAGAAGATTGGTCTTATGAACTGTTTCTTGTAAAGCTCCCAAAATATACCTTCCCTATAGAGAGCACATCTTTAGCAAGATTAGCTGCATTGCGTACCTGAAAGACAGCAAACCCTGTCCCCTCTGCTGCCACCGTCATTGTCATTGGCTGTACAGGGGGAATCTGAAAGAGAGAGGAGTAAAACAGTGTTTTCAAAGTAGTTTCAGGCAGCAGACTTTACAAAACTGTTTCTCGCTTTCTACATTACCTCCTTGGTCTGCAGCAGGAAACGATTCTGAGTATCGATTGAGAACGTTTCTGGTGTTTTCAGAGAAGGTGCTGTCACTGTCACATCCATTGCTGTCCCGCTGGCGGTGGTGAGAGCTGCGAACAGACTCAGGGCTTGCAGAGCCACCACCGTGTCCTGTCAAGAGAAACAAATCCTTTGTGTGAAAGAGAAGCATCTGTGCAGAGAACTCCTGTGTGTGGGAGACGTCTGGGGAGCTCCCGGTCCCTGTGTTGGACCATTTCTGGATTATGCTGGAGTCTTCATGTAGCCACCTCCGCATCTCCATTGGGATCCCACCACAGGAGAGGGGTGGCAGCACAGGACAATGAGATATCTACTGCCACAGCCAACAGAGGACGAGGTGGGAGCCAGCTGAGGACTTTTCCCTCGTGTGCAAGGAGTGTGGAAGACGTGGCACGTGGGCGGACACAACAGTCGGAACCACACACCGCGTGGACTTTGATGGGAATTAATGACACTGCTCTCCTCCCTAGATTTATTTAGTGACTGTGCATTTGATATCCAGTACTGCACAGGAGTTATTTAGGGTACCTTGATTGCTGAAGCAAAAGTTACAGGTCTGAAAAACTATTAATGTTAATTAAAAGAAAAAAAAAAAGCCTGAAATGAGTTTCTAATGGACGCCCGGCAACAATTTCAAAGGGGTTCAGCCCAATTCTTATACTCTGTATTTGATCAAAAAGTGGTGTACAATGGTTTAGCCACTGCAGAATATGCTTATAAGCACATTCTCAGATATATAGATATATAATTCCCTTTTGTTTGTCTTTGTGTGCCAAAGCTGCTGGTATGAGGAACCACCATGGCTGGGACCCCAGCTCCCAGCTTAACATGGTGGGACAGAATGGATGCAACTCATGGGCTACAGGGAGATTTAAGGAGAAAACATTAAACTTTTCCAGTAGGAGGCCAATATTTACCCTGAAAAAATGTCTTTGGTTACCCCTTTGCAGAAGACAAAGCATGCCAATGACTCTGCCCTCCCTCAGACAGCTCAGACACCAGTTCCTGAGGAAGATCTGAGGTTTGGAAGCCAAACTTACAAAACGTCTTTCACATCAAAGTGAAGATGTGACAGCAGCCTGTCACATCTCTAGATCTATCTACCTTATGGACAAAAGGAGCTGCTAGACCTTGTTGGAGAAGCCAATTTTAATCCTCTGAAAGCAGAAATATTCCTACCTTTACCCCAGTTGGGGAAACCACAGAAAACCTCAAAGCACCTCTTCATGGTGAGCTGTTCCACGGGCATGAACTGCAGTGAGCTCTACCCCGACACACAACATCACACCTGCAACTGATTACCTTCCTCCCTATTGCTTAACAATACATTAAGTTTCTAATGTAATAAACTCATGGATGGAAACACTCCAAACATTTATTTTTTTTAAAAAGCAATCTTAGAAGTTAGCAGAAAGTATGGGGTCATTTCCACAAATTAAAAAAGGCATCCAGAGGGACCCTGGAGTAATTTTGAAATCAAAATAGTTTAGACTATGGAAGAGCAAAAGGATTAAATTCATTTCTTAACTTCACCCTCAGGGATAAACGGTGCACTGCTGGATTTTCAAACTTTCAAGTAAAAATGGTTTCTGGAGAATAGAGAAAAGCTTTTTCAACTCATTTAGTGCTTCCATTAGCCTCTTCAAATAACAAGCAAGAATTAACACATTAGGAAAATACTTCTAGTATTTTCAGGGGAACCAGGCTGGTTCTTAAATTGCATTTTATTTAGTGGAACTAATTTCTCTCAGATTAATACCAAGAAACACTTGAAAATAACGCAGGATAGGCTGTACAGCTCGGTACCGAGTACTGTGATGAAATGTGACATTTCACTGTGACCAGCATTTGTAGTTAACTTAAAAGCTAGTTTAAACTAATACAGTCCAAAGTACTATATAAATTTTCTGGATGCCAGCACATCTTACAAGATGTGGTTTCAATAACACGGAAACCTCCTGGAGATAATGAAGATCTTCCAAATTTCATGGCCCATCAAAAATCTCCGCAATAACGAGGACCAAGTACATTATTAAGAGCAAGTGCCAGCAGAGGCTCTGGGTTAAACTGTTCCCCTAAAACCCACTCCCCTTTCCCATCTCAGCTCGCAGCCCCCCAGGAGTCTGAGGACCCACATATGGAAAGAATAGAGAGAGGTTTCTCTCCCTGGAAAGAAAGCAAGCACAGATATTTATCATACCGGCTTGGAAAATCTGATTAATTATTTTTCCATGGGCATCACTTCTTCTTAATTTAAGATCTTTTGTTTTAATATTTTATATAATCAAGGTGACCCTCCAATTCTGTTTTTTGTTATACTTGCCAAAACACTAAATCTGGTGGTCCAGTTCTAAGATGCCAGTATCACAAAGAATGCAAACCTGAACGTAACCAAGGCTGGTGCAGCGAAACAAAATTCAGAAATTATTATGTAAAAAAAACCCAAATGCTCCCTTTTTCGTTTTTCTTTTAAATACACAGTTATTTACACAGAAAGCACAACAGAGCCCCCTGAGAGAAGATATTACCTGAGTAGATGAAAATCCCCCGAGGTGATTTCGTTGTTGACTTAACCATTTCATGACGGGGATGCCCTCCGCCAACCTGTCTTGGTGGAAGTGGGAGAGCAGAGCGTACGCCGCAAGCTCAATATCGATGGACCGGGGCTGCCAGGAAGCAGAAATTTCAGAAGCAGGTGTTACCCAGAAACGAAATTCTCCTGCAAAAGGAACCAACAATAACCTCAGATCCACGGAATGAAGACTTTGGGCCTCTGGGAAAGACTTAAGGGAAACCTCTTAATTAATGCTTATATATGGGATCTAGCGAGGTTCTTTAAAACTGTCTTAATATTTAGGTGAGTGTCCCATAAAGGACTGACTGTATTTCCTCAGCAGGGACTGAATCTAGATACCAAAAAAGCTGGAGTATAAATAGTCCCTTCCATAGATTTCAGTGAACTTTACATTGATCCTTGTGTTCTCAGCCCAAAGTGCTCCCATAAAGGAGCCTTTGTGAAGAGGCTGCGTTGCTTCTGGGGTGCTCCCTTCTCTTCAAGACCAGAGAAGGCTCCTCAGGCTACTCCTGAGGCTCATTCTTGAGTGAAGCCTTCAAAAACAAAGTGATCTTATCCCTTCCCAAAAGCGACTGTCCAAAAGGCCTGACTCAGTAACTACAGAGGGACACCTGGGAATCTGTTTCCAAACGACAACATGAATTCCTTCAGATTTTTCAAGAGGGCAGCTACTATTTTGAGCCCAAAAACTTCAATTTCTTGTATTGCATATGGACTGTTCTTTCTCCAGAATGGGGAACAAAATTCATCCTGCTGAACCTCAGAAGAGGCTAAACATAATGAGATGATTTATCAGAAATCATGCAACAGACCAACAGGTCTCTGTATCGTCTGACAAAGTTCAATCCTTCAACTCTTCATTCCGATGGTGATTTTAACTAAATGCTCCCTCACACCCTCCTGATCTATTCAAACCTGACAAAAATCCATCTGTACCATCGTATGAGAGAGTTGGGCAGTACCTTGCTGTTCTGCTCTCTCGTTCAGCATATTCAGTGCTTCCTTCGCTTTGGTGCTCTTTGCCCAGGACAACACATATGTCACGAGTGCCAAAGTGTAATTATCCGAAATGCCTTCTGCTAATTTATCTTCTAGAAAGTTCGTAGCACTCTTGATGACATAAGCGTGCTGGAAAAGAAGAACATATGGAAGAACGTACAGTGAATAAAATACATATTGAAATATTATAACTTAAATGAAAAATGCTTACGTACACAGAACCATTACTATCACTAAACAACAACAGAGAAATGCTGAAAATCTCTGCCGGAGTCACAGGCACGAATCTCAAGACAAGCCTTTTGATCTGGCACTGCCTTATGAACTTGAGTAATCCCAATGAAATCAACTGGAATGACTTAACATCTCTACAGATAGTTCCCGCCATAAATTTATTTGCAAGTTCTTGGACTAAAGCCATGACAATATTCTTGCTAAAAGCAACAGCCTTTAGATTTTGCAAAGGCACAGAAAATGGAAGGGTCTAACAGCAGAACTTTGTGTTGTCTCGGGTAGATACGGGATGCTTAACAAAATCATCTCTGTTCAGATGTCCCTCTGTGTCCTTAATCTAGCAAGAGCTTGCCAGGGGCTGTGACAATTTATGGAGTGTTCCAGTGACTATGAATTCTGCTGATGAATTCCAGTACCTGTTTATCTGGGAAGCCCAGGAGGGATGACATGATGTAAGCCGTGAGAGTGACCGGGTTGTTGGTGCCTCCTTGAAGATCGCTGTGCAATACTCTCCCAGGCTCCTGAAACTCTCCATTTACCTTCTGGTGCCGGACTATCCATTTAGCTGTGTCCCTCAGGACGTCTTGGTCAATGTCTATGAATGGACGAGCTTGAAGGAAACATCTTAACACAAAAGCTGATAGCCTTGGGGAAAAGGTTAATCAAATACAACAATATTAGCAACATATTGCAGCTTCTTCTCTTTAAGATGGTGCAAAAAGAGCATGATGCATAAATTGTTCTACACACACGTCCCAAGCACAGAGGAAAATACGTACTTCATCCAGACAAGCAAGTAGATTAAGTTTCATCCCTATTAGCAACATATTGCAGCTGCTTCTCTTTAAGATGGTGCAAAAAGACGGTGATGCATAAATTGTTCTACGCACACGTCCCAAGCACAGAGGAAGATACGTGCTTCACCCAGACAAGCAAGTAGATTAAGTTTCATCCCCTCAAAAATGAAGCTACGTCCTTGTTCCTAAAGATCACCCTTTGCAGCTGTTATGTTTCAAAAATAAATACAGAGTAGAGACTCCCAGTCTGATGGCACATGTATATCATTATTCTAATGCTGCTCTCCTGTCTTCTGCTGCCAGGCTGATGTGGCAAAAATCACAGGTTACAAAGCAATGCTGTTATGAGTGTGACGCTAATGATCACAATTATGTAATGATATCGAAACAACCTTTGCTGTTTTATTAATAATAATCCCGAGTTCTGCTTTGATTCCCTTCTTTGCCAAACGTGCATCCGTGTGACCTGTCACTGCACTATTTAACAACCAGAGTTGTCAGCACAGCTAAATTGTCTTCATTTTTCAGTCCATCAATACTGAGTCCGAGGCAAATCCTGCTGATGTCAATGAAAGGTGCTCACTGACTCTGGAGTGACACAGTCGGTGGCCCAGTACCTGGGATGGCTCTGTTTAAAGCAGTGTGTACTGAAATACACGTCAGTGTATTTAACTAACTGAACATGGGTCAGCTGAACAAAGTGCTGGAACTTGTCTCTGTTATTTATCTGGCTTCCACTGTGGTGCTCACTCTGCTTCCCTGGGGGAAATTCAGCACTGAAAGGCTTTTTTGGCTGTATTTACAGTCTCAGAAAAAGGAAGTGTGAGAGAGGTAAATAGGAGAAATTTTTACCATCCATAACTCTGTTCAGCCCTTAGGAAATCACAGAATCACAGAATGGTTTGGGTGGGACACCTCCCACCAGACCAGGTTGCTCCAAGCCCCATCCAGCCTGGCCTTGAACCCCTCCAGGGATGGGGCAGCCACAGCTTCTCTGGGCAACCTGGGCCAGGCTCTCACCACCCTCACAGCAAAGAAGTTCTTCCCCAGATCTCATCTCAGTCTCCCCTCTTTCAGTTTAAAACCATTATCCCTCATCTTATGGCTCCCCTCCCTGATCCAGAGTCCCTCCCCATCTCTCCTGGAGCCCCTTTAGGGACTGGAAGGGGCTTTAAGGTCTCCCCGGAGCCGCCTTTTCTCCAGGCTGAACCCCCAACTCTCTCAGCCTGTCCTCACAGCAGAGGGGCTCCAGCCCTCCCAGCATCTCCATGGCCATCCAACAGGTCCATGACATGGACCATGAAATACCTCAGTCTGAAAATCTGTTTGAAGCGATGATGATAACAGAGCACTAAAAGGTTTCAGTCAACTGCAAGAATAAGTCATTTAATTATTATTCTTCATTCCTTTGAGGAAAGCAACAGAAAAACTTCCAGACCAAGCTATTCCTCTGGCTAAAAAAATTCATCATTCATCTTTCACAAAATTAAAAAGCCTTTCCCTAATAATGGCTTTGACAGCACGTTACCCAGCAGAATGACCTTAGAGTTGGCCTAAACACCTAATGAAAACAAGGCAGAAGGCCAATACAGCTGGAAATTTTTACCAGCTTCAAAAAAAAAATTTTAGTCGCAGGGAAAATATCTAAAATACTCAAATTCCACAGTGAATCTGGCAGAAATACTTACCACGTGCTCCCAGAGGGATCTTCATTTCCAAAGGCACTAAAAGAGCCATCATCCCTCTGGAAAAGCAGCTCTCGCTGGTAGCCTGAAGTGGAAAAGCAGAGACGGGTGTTGAACACTCTCACACAGATTCCAGTACAAAATTTCTGCTGATGTGAAGCGAGGCCCTTCCTAAGGCTGAGAAGGGCAGAACTTAATCTCTTATTTTGCAAAAAATCTCCCAGCTATATATAAAACCACCAAACTGCACAGAAGCTGATGAGAAAGCTGGGGCAGGAACACGGAGGGTCCATCTATGAAAGCACCTGAAGATTTTTTTCAGTATCCAGAAAAAGTAAAGCTTTCTGCTGATGGCTGAACTTCTACAACGAAAGGTCCCCAAGGGCTCACCAGCTCCTCACCACCCTTGCCCAACAGCTGGTGTCAGCACAGAACCAATGTTCGTTAATGATAGAAATGAAGAGCCTCTGATGATACGCCACCCACCGTGGCTTCTGATATCTAAAACCTTCCTTCCCTTACATTTTGCTTGCCATTTGGGTATCCAGAACAATAACCGCATTGATTTATAGCATTTCACAAGACATCTTTTAATCTTTCCCCCCACCTTGTCTTCTCCTCGGCTGTTACAATTAAGAAAGTATATTCCTTAGTCTAGCACCTGGCAGATAAGAGACACAACACTGAACCAGCCAGGCAGAAGGAAAACCCTCAGGCAACACCATCATTAAGTCCTGCAGAAATGAATGAATTTACAAATACGTCCCATGGGGTCCATCCAACCACAACTGCTCCCTGCAAAATGTTCTTACTTTCACTGATCAATCACTCATGTAAGTACCATCCCCAGTATAGACACATGGTGACTGAGTCACAGCCTTAGTCACTGAGGAACAAAGGGCCCAGTCCCTCAATCTAAGGCACCTGGGGGTAAAATGAAATCCCAGTTGAGGTCTCTCTACAAGAGAAGAGGTACAAAGATGTCTGAACAGCTACATTACACCAGTGCACCTCCCCATGGGAACTCCTACCCCAGGTTTAGCTTTTGTCTCTTTATAAGACTTCGAAATTACAATTTCCACTTAAACAGAGGGTTTGTTTTTTTTTTTTAACGGCAGTGGGTAATTACGTGATTAAAACTGGTGAGTCTTTCCCATGCAGACAAATATGTCATCTCACTTAATGATCCTGAGACCCTGGTTCTTTTCTATTTTACAAATATTTCAGCACACTTACTGGTTTGGCTACTATAGTGTTAAAAACATACACCTACGTTCAAAACTCCGGGAACAAGTTAAGTAATACAATGCTTTGTATATAGTGACACTTAATCCTACGATTTTCACTTGCTTTGAAATAACTTTAATAAATCTGTTACTGGGAAACTTCAGAACATTCTGCTGGCCCGGCTCAGGCTGGCCCGGCTCAGGCTGCCCCGAGAGGCAGATTGCTTCCAGGCTGCAGAGCAGCTGCTCACATCACACATCTCTTCCTCCCCCCCTTACTCTGCCATTAAACCATGTAGTAGGAAGGGTTTAAAAAAAAATCATTTAACTGCTTTTGAAAGAAAATTGGGATCTTGATGAAAGGAAAATTTATTTTGAGCTGGGATGAATACGGCTCCCACTGATGGATTTTCAACCTCTGTGCCTCAAGCAGAGGTCAGAAATGTTTGCTCACACACAGTTTTATCACAGGAGAGACAACAATCACCACAGAAAACCATGTAAACTACCTTCTAAACCACAGTTTTTCTCTGAAAATTAACTGTGTGGTTTTTTCTAATCAAACTTGCCCTTGTAAACAAAATTGTTTGCTCCTTAAGTCTGTCAGCCCAGAAGAAAGAGGGGAAAAAAAAAAAAAATGAATTTTTCTTCCATTTTTCATGACACCAACACAGCAGGACATCAGAAACCAAAGGCAGAGTCACAGGTATTCTACACCAGTAAGAGTCCTTAAAAATCTTAACACCTTTTAAGGATACAGACCTTTTCTCATAAATGATACAGCTTTTGATCTAATATCCTCTCTCAGCTGCCTGGTTTTAGTCAGGTATTGCAGAACATAAACGTTTGGAGCAAAATTGATCATATTCTGTTCGCCGCAGCCATACGGCATCTTAATCAGTGACGACAAACCATTGATAGAAGGCCCAAGCAAATCACCTGAAAGACAAAATGCAATGAAAATAAATTAAAGCCTATTGGAAATAAATGCATATCTATCACATACAGGATGGTGTCGTCTAAACTGGGCAAAAATATGAAAATATGATACATTGGAAACGCACTAAACACCACTAATTGGACAGAAAACTGCATTAAACGGGCATTCTGCATCTTCTGGTGAGTTTTGTGTCCACTGTCTCATCTCCTCAGAGATCTTTCCAACTATAGACTAATTTCAAACAGGCACTATTAAAAAAAAAAAAAAAGAAAAAGGCAAAAATATATTTCATCCAGGAAAATGCTTCAGTAACGTTACACATTTGAAACTTTCTATATTTCTTCTCCCACCCACAGCTACCAAAGGCCAGGTGTCACAAGGAACAACAGTCACCAGGTTTTAGGTTTTATTCTGCAGAATTAAAACAGGACACTAATGAACTGCACAGGACCTTCCTTATGAAAACCCAATTCCCTCTCTCAACCTGGAAAAGGACAGTCAATACCATAATAACATAAATTAAATAAATTAAAGGAATAACACACTCCATAATGCCTTCCTATGCTTCATCCAAATGCATGATGATAAGTTACTTTGAATTAATGATTCAACCTATTAATATAGTGATTAAATACAAATTAATGCAGTTCCCCATAAATAAAGCCACACGGCCATATCAGGCAAATTCTTGTCTGGGTCCTTCAGAAGGGACTGTGGGGAAAGCTGTGACAAACCCTCTCAGAGAGGTTGTGGAGTCCCCTTCTTTGGAGATTTTCAAGACCAACCTGGATGCTCCTGAGTAACATGCTCTGACAAGCTCTGGGTGGTCCTGCTTCAGCAGGGGAGTTGGACTAGATGATCTCTATGGTCCCTTCCAACTCTAAAAATTCAGTGAAATTCAGTGAAACCCTGCTGGGGCAGCTCAGGTTATCACACACCAACCTCTCTGACAGAGGCTACTGCTGCTCGTTACTCCTGGCCACTGCTCTGTTCTGAGTTTGTGCTCAGTAGGCAAGAAACTATTTAAAAAAAAAAAAAAAGCCAAAAAAACCCCAAAAAAATACCCCAGACAACACAGCTGAGCAGCAAATAATAAAAGATGGCAGTAGAATAAAACAGCCCTTACCAACAGCAGTGACCTGCACTCTCTCGCTGCCACTTACAACATCGGGTGGAAAAGTGAACTCCAAGGTTTTTGACAGCGCCTGTGGTCTATTCCCAGCTAAATCCAGAAGGACGGTCTGAGAATACGTCTGCTCCAAGCCTTCAGCCTACCAAAATAAAGGCAGGGTTAGTGTCACTCCAGCAGTGTGTGGTTTCAGGACTGGGGCTGACAGAACAGGGGGACCTACACTGCTGCCAGGTGTTTGCCCTGCTTGCTAAAACATCAGGAACCTAAGGTATCATCATCCAAACTGAATGTTTTTCTTACAAAGACCTACCTCCGCTATTTGCATCTCAAGACCATGTGTTAATTATAAAAATTCCCAAAGTCAATGAGGGCACCTCGGATTGCAGTGAGCTCCCTGCTGAGCATTGAGCTCTGTGCCAAGGCCAGAGGTGGGACTTTTCATGATGTGTCCATGGTCCCTGGAGGGGTTCAAGACCAGGCTGGATGAAGCTTTGAGCAACCCGGTCTGGTGGGAGATGTCCCTGACCAGGGCATGAGGTGGGACTGGGAGGGCTTTAAGGTCCCTTCCAACCCAAACCATTCTGTGACTATGTCTGCAATCAATCCTACCCCCTGTCATACAAGGAGGACTTAAACTGCAGTTGGGTACACAACCATGAAGGTTTTGGTTCCTCACGCCTGCAAAATCTCTTGAGAAAAAGCATCCTTGAAGCAGAGAAAATAAATGAGCTTCTTTCCTCAGCCTAGGCCTTCATCCACCAAGCTCTTATCCTCTTCTACACAACTGAACTTCAGCAGAAAGGGCAGTAGGTGGCTGGCTCTGCTTGGAAAGAGCTCCAAGCCCTGTGGGAGAGGGGTCTAAACACCCCTGAGAGAGCTGGGACTGGTCAGACTGGAGAAGAGAGGGCTCAGGGGCATCTCACCAATGTGTATAAATACCTGGGTGTAAAGAAGATGAAGTCAGGCTCTTCCCAGTGGTGCCCAGTAGCAAAATAGGAGGCAAAACACACACATTGAAATAAAGGGACTTCCTTTTAAACATAAAAAAATACTTTTTTTAACTGTGAGGGTGTTCAAACACTGGAATAAGCTTCCCAGAGAGACTGGGAAGTCCCTGTCCTTGGGGATATCAAACCCCTGACTGCACATGGTTCTGAACATCCCGCTGCAGCTGATCCTGTGCCGAGCAGGAGGGTTGGACTGCACCCTTCCACCCTCGGCCACGCTCTGATTCCATCAGCTTAAGCATTTGTTTTAGGACGAGATGTACAAGTGTCTTCCACCTTCCACTGCAACAGAGCCTGACATGAACCAGACTTAGATGTCCGAAGCCAGGCAAGTTTCTGGTTTATCAGAAAGCCTGGGGGCTGAATTACCACCACTAGCAAAACACAGAAACGTTCATGTAAACTAAGGTTTGAGCTAAAGGCAGGTACACCCATCCATAACACAGGTATTTGCTCCACTCCAGATGGAGCGGATGGACGATAACACAGTTATTTGGTCCATAACACCATTATTTGGGCCATAACACAGTTATTTGGTCCATAACACAGTCATCTGGGCCACTCTCCAGATTATTGAGCTGTAGCACCAGGACTGCACTCACACACAAGTAGGTTTCACCCTGCTTTCAGATCCATGTGAGACATGGCCTGTAGAACAGATCTACGTGTTCACTCCTGCAAAAGGATCTAAACGTTTTACAAGGAGAAATTATTTTAAAAGAAGTGTTTTCTACTTCGAGCTACCTGACCTGGAACCAACTTTGCAGAACAAGAGGCAGAGAAGGAAATGGGTTTGCCTTTTTGCTGCATCCTGTTGCCTGCTCTAGGGAACAGTTTCTGTCAGGCCCCAGCCCAGGGGCAGAGCTCACCTTCACCAGAACCTGCTGAACCACAGCATCAGCAGCAGCAGACGACATGGCTGTCACTTTGAGGGGAATCTCTCCCAGCTGCCGTGGCTTGATTGGGAACTGAATGGTTTTCCCATCTTCACTGGGTACGGATACGGACTGCTGGTTTTCCGTGGCATTTATTTCATTGGATGTCAGAATGATTTCAAAAGCCTCGTTCATATCCAGGGTCACTGTGACCTGTCAACACAGTAACATTTGCAGTAAAAAGTGTTAATTTGGAAAAACTGCTTTCATATGCTGCCACCTTTTTGGTGTTCAGAGAAATAGCTTTTTGGTCCACCCACTGGAGAAAATGCCAATGTTCTCACAAGAGAAAAGTGTGGTCTCCATCGGCGATGAAGACCCTGCAGTGTCTATAAAGTTCAAGTACAGACTGTTATTTTACCTCAGCTTCTTCTTTCAAGTAATTAAAGACGTTGACTTCCAAAATGAACTGCTCTCCTCTGACGACAGAGTACGGTAGGTTCAGGAAAATGAAGAAAGGTTGAAAAGCTTCCAGCTGCAAAACAAAGTCAGCAGTGAACCCCTGCAGTGAGTTACTAGCCAGAAGGTGACTACACAGCTTGTCTTCTGACCACTTTGGAATTGAGCTGGCGGAGGATGTTCCCTTGTTCCCTGCAGGTGACACCGTGTGTTGCTGCAGGGCTGGGGCAGAAGCCAAGGATGCTCCTGGTTGTCCCCTCAGCTGCGAGCTGGTGACAGCCCCAGCAGGGCAAGGGCCAATGCAGGCACCTGAAGTGGGACTGAACGCCTGTTGTTCAGCAAGTCTGGAAGCTGTGTCTGCCCTGGGATCCCCTTCAGGCAACGGTGAGCTGCTCTGAGCACACAAGTCACGAGTGACCTGGGATCTGTCCCGTGGAAATGCACACTGGAACACAAAATAACTACCTTTTTCGGATTCTGTAATTCACCAGCACCTTAGAATGATGTTTCTTATTTTGTAAGGCTAATCTCAGCATAAGTTTGTCAGCTATATATCTAAAAATACATCTTTTCTTAATTAAAAGAAAAGCTGCAGAAATACACCAGCAAGCAGTCGCTTTTATCTGTGAACAGAGGTTTTTGGATGAAGTCTTGGCTCTGGGAAGTCAGTGGTAAATTCTCATCAAGCTGAACAGGATCAGAATTTCACTGCTTAGGAACATCTGTAGAATGAGAATGGCTGAAGCATGATATCCTTTATTACTGAAATGTCAACTAAAAATGGTTTTAATTTGGTTTTCAGTAAAAAAATTCTTGCAAGTGTTTTGAGTTTCAGATCCAAACCCCCCTCAGATTTCTCTCTAGCTAGCAAATATTCCAACGTTCTCCTTTTAAAACTTTGAAAAATTGTTTGCTAAAGCTTTCAGTGTCACAAACTTCTTTAGATATTAGACACTAGGGAAGTTCTGCTGGAGAACTTTTGGTTAGTTCTTAGTTGAGGTTTTCTCTATTACCAATTTTCTTTGGGTTTTGGTTTGGGGGGAGAGAGGAATTTTTGGGTTTGTTTTTTTTTTTGCTTTTCTCTAAAACTCTTGCAATACTGAAGTTTTACACATAGAAATATCCTAGTATATTACAGTACAATATGATGGGGTAAAATTATCGATACTGTGCAGTAGAAATGAAATAAAACCAAGATACAAAGCAGTAAAGGACATTAAGAAGGACATTAAGGACACAGATGTCACTTATTTATGTCCTTGTCACAGTTTTCATGCATTTCTTTTATTTTCCTCCCTGTATGGTACCGATTAACATCTCTTACAGCCATAGGGAACCCTGAGCACAACCTAAACATCCTGACAAGGGGGAAGAACTGAGCAGTGCACGTGGGCCATTAGAGTTAAATAATAATAATCTCAACATCTGTTCTACTTGCAGCCTTCTCAGATCTGAGGCTGACAGGCCAAGTATACATTTTCATACAGTTTAGATCAGAAAACTATTCCTCTTTCTGCCCCATCTCTGCCAAGTTGAGCGAAAGAAACTCAAATTGTGATTCCAGTCTCAAAGCAGCTTCAGCCGCAGAATCCAGATGGGGCTCCAAGTTCTGTGGTGGAGTTATGAGGAGGGTGTCCAAAGCACATGTTCTGTGCCTGCTGTAGGAGCCAACTATGGAATCTGGATCTGGATCTTGGTTTGGATTCCAACAGTTGCCCCTCCCCAGGAACTGGAGGGCATGGGAACATCCCCGGGTAACGGGTTGTCTCCAAGCTATGCTCACACTAGTCCTGGCCTCAGGCTGGAAATCCATGACCCAGCACTGCAGGGTTTCAACCTCTCTCATCTTGGTGGGGGCTTCAGTGGAGTTGTCTCCATTAGGAATGTAGTATCTCTAGGGTCCTTACATAATGAATGGAAGGAGGTATATACATACCTTCACAGTATATAAAATACTAGCTAAATGAGACTTCAAAAAGAAATTGCTCTTCTAAACAAGCTGAATAACCCTCTCAGTAACTGTTTCCATGAGTACAGAGTGAGGTGAGGACAACTGCACTCATATGTTGGGAATCTCGGGTTAGAGATTTCACCTTAGGAGTGCTGAATTTAGCTTGAATTACCAAACTCCTCAAACATTTGGAAACACAAAAAGAGCCTCAAGAGACAGGGACGTGGCAGCAAGAAGAATGTCACCCCACTGCTGGCTCTCCCTGGCCACTGTGCTCCTCAAGCCAAGTTACCCAACAAGCAGCACCTAGCTTTAGTCCAAGACTGGTTCTGACAGGGAGATGACAGCAAGGGCAGAATTTAGGCTTTTAGCAATTCTCCCATCCTCCCTCCTGGGGCTGTCAGAGGAGCAGGGCAGTGGCATGAGTCCCTCTCCCATCCCAGACATCTCACCTCCTCTGTGCAAACCCCCCCTGCACGCATAGTCCACCCAGGGAAGGTCCTCTTGGCAGAGGCAAGGAAACATGGAAATACGCTGTCCTCAGGCTGTCATTCAGTCCCTCCTTCTACACATAGAGATTCTGAAGTGAGCACACCCTGAAAGTGCTCTGTTGATACAACTGCTCCAACAGAAACAGGCACCCGAGTGTCCGTGTAATGGCCGAGACACTGATATGAGCAGGAAAGGGGGGACAGATACAGCATCACATAAGTTGTCAGGGATGATGTTTTCTCTACACGTGGTCTCTCAATCATTTTATCAGTACAAGGAGATGGCTGCTGTTAGAACTAAAATACAGCTTCCAGTAATAACCCCCAGTGTTACCAGGATTTAAAGGAGGACTGTCTAGTGCCGTGGTACCTCCACTGGAGTGGTCGTCACTCCAAGCCCGCTGTTCGGAGACATCACAAAAGCACTGGCGACCCAGGAGGTGATGGTATCGGGTACAAGGACCTCCATCGTGGTCTCCATGTTGGACCTGAAGGGCAGAGAAGACTTTCAAAAGCATCCATTTGCAGACATCATTAAAAGTGGACATGAATGTTTAAAAGGCGTCCAAAATTAAGCCCAAACTCTTGGCAGGAAAAGCTGCTGATTCTCTCTTTTTCTTTTCCTAATCATTTAGAAATATTTGTGATGGGTTCAAGATGGTTAAAAAAAACTTAAATTATTTTAAATTACATGAATTGAAGGTAACTACACCGAATCCCACTACATGTCATCAACTTTTACAGATCCTTTAAAACAATCCCAGATGCCGGTTGCTTCCTGACCCTCTCAGCTGTGAAAGAACACGAGGTTTGTGCTCTGTGTCACTGGTCAGATCTCAGTCATTTGGCACTTTGAGCTGCTCCTTCAATTAGGAGCAGTCAGGAACAGATTTCCCTTTCTGGGCACCATCCTCTCCAACCACCATCCTCTCATGTACCATAGAGAAAGAGACTGGGTCTCCCTTTCTGTTATCTCCCCATCTGTAAAAGGAAGAGTTTCCTTTCTCTCCAGGATTTTTAGCTGGTTCCTGTTGAGATTACAAGGCCTTCAGTCAGCTGTTGGCCTGTTTGGGCCATTGCACAACCCTCCTTTGGTGGCCTCCAATCTCAGTCCTGGCCTCTAGGTGGTAGCAGAATATAAATAATACTCCATTTTTAAGCGGTGTTCAGCACGGGTTCAGAATGCTACTAAAACAATGCTACAAAATACCGACGGCAAGTATTAGATTACTTTCCATCTGCTTCTGATCTCATACCTAGTTTTAGTGTCGATCCAAAGCCAAGTCTCTGGAAAATGTGTCCTCACGTAGAGGTTGCTGAAATCAGGAGGCCCGTCCTTAGATACCGGCATATCATCACCGAAACCGTCCTCGATGGGTATCATTCCACCATCTACGAAATAAAAAAGATATTGTCCTACATACAAATATCTTGGTTTAAGAAAAATACAATTAAGAAAAATCCAATTAATACAGTGTTTGGAGTATAATCCATAGCTTTGTTACACATTGGAACACTACTCTGGGACACTAAGAACTCTTGGTTTTTTACTTGCTTATTTTTCTTAAGAATAAAAATAATATCACACAAACTTAAATTTCTCCATGGCCCCTCTGGAGTGTTTATGGATCTGGTATAATGTGGCTACACATGACAAATCACTGCCACATCTATCAACTGACACTGCACATCCAGGCCCAGGAAGTGTCACTCAGGATGGCAGGAAAAAAGAAGTTTTTAAAATACTAGTCATATTAAAATTCATTAAAATACTATTCATATGCATTTTGCCTGTCCTGAAGCTTGGAAACGGTGATGGTTTGCAAGGCTGGATGCAGCACAGTGAGAACAGGGGGCCCTAACCCATGGACCTCCTTCCCCACTCAGTAAATGGTATTTGGCTACGTTTATTTTTATTACTTACAAAGAAAATGTTCCTTATCCTCCTCAAGAACTGCATCAGTGGATACCCAAAGGCTGCATTTCTGGATAAAATTTATACAGCATATCTCAATACAGGACATTCAGGACATCAACAATACTATCTATTTTCTTTTCTTTTCTTTGTTTTTAAGAAAATAAAGTCATCATAATAAAGCAATTATAGAACTAAAACAAGTAATACACAGGAACCAACAAAACTGAGATCATCTGAATCTGAATATTGCCTTAATGGCTGAAAACTTTTCAAAGGGAAGACAGTATCAAGCATAAAGCAATCTGTAATTATGGAAGTATAAACATATTTCTTTGCAGAGTATTTATGCATTGATAGAATTCACAATTCAGAACTTACATAAGCCGTGAAAACAGTACATTGTCCACGGTCACAAACTTTTAAAAGGGCATTTTCTTCTAGCAAGTGACTAAGCAGTAAAAAACCAACAGCTTAGAATTAAAAAAAATAATATATATATACCTGAAAGACCCCAAAAGACCCTCTGACCAGAGGGAAATACTGCACCGTGCTGTATAAATTGAGCTCGTGGAAGACCTAAGACAAGAAAAAGAAAATCATCCAAAGAGTGAAAGCAAACTCTCATTTTTCATGACTCTCACTGCTGTAGACACTGATTCCTAGGGCTGCACCTCAGGCAGCAGCTCGCTTAGCTCTCTCATCCAAGGGAAAAGAATCCTTGACAGGGTGAAGGGACCAGGCTGCAATGCCCTCAGGATTAATGGAAGAGTGACAAAGACTATATAAGCCTAAAAAAGGAACCTACAGCCCACTAATACTCTATTGTCAGCTCTTTCCAATTGTTGGTGCACTAGAGCTTCTGCAAGCAAAGGGAATTCGAAAATATTAATAATTTATTCTGCTCTTCAAAAAATAAAATTCCTTCTTCGTTTTATATCACTAACTTTAAAGAGCACAAAGCACAAATCATTAGGGAGTTTTTCTGACTTTATCTTTCCTGAAAAAGAGAAACTGCTAAGTGTTAACTGAGCAATTTACCAGGTATAAAGCTTACCTTGTAAGTTTACAGTCCCTTGCACTCATGTTGCCAAACTACTTGCAGAAGTAAAAACTACTTGCATAATTAAGGACTAAAAATCCTGCCCCAAAACCCATTACTCATTCAGCATATAAACAGTAACATTTCCATCTTTCACTCGCATAATAATGAAACCCCTTTTTCCCCAAGTACTTACAGAATCTTCTGTTATGTCAGTACTTTCTCCTAGGAGCTTTGTACTTTTATCAACAACCGCGAGTCCAATGACTGACCCTGGCTCTGTCGTACTGATTTTTAGGGAGACCCCCTCAGATGGCTTCACCTTATCTTTGCTCCAAGATATTTTAATCTAGAAAAAAGTAAAAAACAGCACTCGTTTAAATTACACAGTGATATTTACAGCCACTAACAGCTCTGAGGAAGCATTTTCTTAGCTTAATTGGCTATAATTAAGATCCTGGGTTTGCTTTTCCTGGAACCATTGGGGAAGTACCAGGGCATTCCTTTGGCTCTCACCCCCCCAGCTGCTCAGCTCCTTGGGCTGGTGAGGAGTCAGCATCGGGACCTGGGGCCATTCCCCTCAGACCTTACTGTGCAAGTGGCAGCCTCTTGAGCCACGGGGATACACCGGTTTCTGCAGCTGAGGGCAGGGAATGAAACACATCCGCTGTCTATCAGTGCACAATGCATCATACAACTTACTTAGGGAAAGATTATTCTGGACAGCTTCAGCCCCCAGAGGTTACACCTAAATGCTCCATCAGTGAGACTGACACAGAGAAGGGGTCCTCCTTGGGCTCACACTCCACGCGATGTGACCACTGCCTGGCTAAAGGAAGGTCTTCGAAAAGGTTTGTAGTTCCACGCTTAGAGCACTTCTGAGTGTCTTTCCACTACGTTGGCCAAAACAATCTTTGCCTCAGTCATTGACCAAACTATTAAACCCTGAGGAGATGCTGTGTGTCTGCTTATGGGAAAGACACAGGGCTAGCAGAAACATCTTTCAGATATAAAGTAGCCCTACATTTATTGCTGGACCCCAACTGTGCTGGTATTAGCAAAAGTCTTTCCGAGGACTTACACAAACCTCAGATTAGATCCTCAACGAGGGAGGTTTTACATTTCCAACCCCATGATCTAAAACACTGTTTGCCACACAACACACAGGCAAAACCCTGGTCTCAGACTCGAGTTCAATATCGTCACCTTGTCATCCAAAACAGGCTGGACAGGGACGGTGAGAGCATCGTTCACAACCACGCCAAGCTCATCAACGTAGAACACCAGTATGCATGCCAGAGGAGCCCAGGAGTTTTCTGCTGTCAAAGTGAATGTTTTTGCAGCCTTTGTGCCAAAGTCCATAATTTGTTCCTTAGATAACACCTGAAAGGGAAAAATTAAACATTCACTCCTGTTGGTATCTCAATATGCCACAAGCTCTGCAATTCCTTCTACAACTAGCCATTAAAATAAGAGACATACAGCTCTGATTTTTTTTTGGTTGACCAGTTCTATGAGACTTGGTATGGAACATGCGGGAAATGTAATATTTAAATATTAGAAATAGTTTTTCCTAAGTGGTTGACCTGTTCTATGAGACTGGGTATGGAACATGGGGGAAATGTAATATTTAAATATTAGAAATAGATTTTTTTCCTGCTTTAACTCCTGTATCACTATGGACAAGTAAAGAACTATAAGGAGGAGAGCACAGCAGAACAACTGCTAAAAGAAGATAAAAATGCAACAATCACACGCCTGGGCCATGTGGGTCATCTGTAATAGCAGTTGAGTTTGGACCACAATTGTAAAAGCAAATCTCCCAAACCCCCCTACTCACCAGGCTTACAATGTGCACCATGGAGAGTGTGAGCTGGGGCCACCAATGTGTTCCAGCTGGGAAGAGACACTCATTCTGCTACACCAGATCAGAGCCAAAGCTGCCTCCAAACACCCGGGGTTCAGGCCAGAGCACCAACTTCTCCTCTCTGAACCTGCTCCCACTGGACCATCCCACTCTCTCATGAGGACGGAGCCATGAAGGGCAGTTCCCTGCCTCCCTGCATCTACACGATTTTCTAAAAACCTTCTAGAGGGCGCTTCTGGTTTAGAAAACACACAGGAATGCCCACATTTTATATTTTTTACTATGAAAGACTCTTGAAGGAAAAGAACTGCAGTTGTCATCATCCTTAGGGTG